CCCTAAACCCTGAGCCCTAAAACAAGGCAAGGGTCTCAGCGGAGCTCGCGGAGGAAGTTGAAGCGGGCCACGAGAGTGCTTCTGTCCCTGAGGTTTAGGGTTTAAGGCGTTAGGCTTTAGGGTTTAGGCTTTAGGGATTAGGGTTTATAAGGTTTAAGCTTCGGAAAAATAATCCCTAGCGCTCCGAAGACCACTTGTAGATACTGCTTACAAACTGTAGGCCCTGAACCCTAAATCAAAAAACTAAGGCCCCAATTTGACCCAATTCAGGTATTATGTATAAAGACTTAGAAGCCCACAATGTCCCAATACAAATGCTGTTCGCAGGGGGCCAACTGGCCAACAAGACACCTTGTAATGCCTATACATTCTGGGGCCCTTAATCCCATGCCAAACACATGGGCTTCGAGTCGCTTAAGTAAAGGCTTAAGTGCTGTGTTCATTGCGCCTTGCGTCATGCCCTGTGGCACTTAGCGTTGACAAGACTCCTCCGCAGACGCAACCCTGAAAATTCGCAACCTTCCATCCTCTGCGGACAGGACCTGTGCAGCTTGCGGCAACAATGCTAATACATCGGAACATGTTGGGGTTTAGGGACCTGGCGTTTCTACAAGTGCGTTCGTGTACTTTGCAAAAACAAGGCCCCTACGGCCCCTTGAAAATGCTTCAATCAGAATTTCTGCCCGATTCTAGATAACCGGAGCGGGAACCACAGCTACGTGCAACACATCGCCATGCAAGCCTTGATGCCTTCGCGATGATAGCGCATCAAATTTAATCCACAGAGCATACTTACATGCGAATTGGTTTAGGGCTGCTGCATATGGAGCCCCCAAATTCAAATGGTAGTACCCGCATGAACTCTACGTTATTGGGAACCGTGAAGAGGCTGCATAGGGTCTCCAAGAATCGGCGCCGGCATGCTTGGACATTTTTTCAGCAGTCCTCACATGCACAATCCCTCAATACAGGCGGCAAGCACAACCGTCTTCGTTCGTCCCCAGCAACCCAACACGTTTGCACAACATTCTCAAAAACTGCAACTTCAAGAACCTCAGGTTTGTTGACTAGGTAGGCAAAGCACATGTGCTTGTGTTTTTACAATAGCAAGTATACGGGACCACCAGAAACCAGCTGCTAATAGCTTGGCCGTTCCCTACCTGACCTGGTGAGTTTCTTGTGATGTTGATAAATGCATCTTGTACGCCCACCTCAAACCCTCCTTTGTGAGTGACCCTGGCCTCAGGCAATGTACTATGTCCCCTTAGACGCCCCAAACCCTAAGCCCTAAGCCAAAAACCCTAAACCCTAATAAAGCCATAAGGTAGCACCCTATTGTAACCTTCACAAGTAGGCTCCCCAACCCCCTAGTCAAACCAGGGTCGCACAGGGGAAGGCCCAAAGCCTTCCAGCCCTACTTACAGGCTCATGCGATGTAATGCGATGTAATGACATCTCATAACTGGGGTGGAGGCCTAGTCTTGCTGCGGCAACCTATACGAGACCAGTAAAAGGGGATGAAAAGTTGAGTTGGCCGCATGAAGTTCCTTGACCTCATGTAATCCAAACCCCCAACCCCAGCCTCTTGAAGAACTGCAAGGCCTACCCTAAGTCCTAAACCTTGAACCCAGAACCCCAGACCATAGGCAGCCACATACCCGGAACCTGAAACCATAGGAAGCTCTCAGCAATAATGTGGAAGCTTTTGTAAGTGCCAATATCTGCGGTGCTCTCCACCATCATTGTACCAGGAATCCGAGGCTATGATTGGTAAATAACTAGGTCATTGTAATAACTCAAAAAGTCAAGACCCAAAACTCTGAACCCCCGACCCTATACCCAAAACCCCTACGCTCTACACCCGTATGCCTAAGCCTCTAAACCTGAAACCGGAAACCCCTACGCCTCAACCCCGTACACCTTAACCCTAAACCCACTAAGCTCTAAACCCTAAGCCCTAAACCCCTAAAGCCCAAAACAGCTAGACCCTAAACTCCTAAACCCTAAATCCTAAAGCCCGAAACACCTGATGCTGTTAAGGAAACTCGTTTAAGTTACTATATTGGGGAAAACCATTTTAAGTACGATATGTACCCATTATGGTAACTTAATCTAAGTTGCTTAACAGCACCCAGCAAAGGGGGATCCAAGCCTTCGCGTACCAAGCAGCAGTCTGCTGAACTATCCTCAGCCTCGGGGCACTTCCCCCAGGAGCCCGACACCCTCCATTGTATGGGGATATAGGGTTTAGGGATTAGGGTTTAGGGATATTACAAGCCCCGGGCCCATTATCGAAAGGAACATAGGAGATGAAATGACTACTGGGGTTGTATCATATACTGCTGCTATGGTTCTAGAATCCTTGTGTTGTATGGTATGGGGCATCTCGCATAGACCTCAGATGATATCGTTTGCTAATTATTTAGGCCCCTGCAGGGCCTACTTGGAGTCCAAGAAGGTACTTGCAACCTGCTTGGGACATGTATCAAGGGTTCCAGGGTTGTGCCCCTAAAAGGTTTCCCCAACATGGCCTTAGCATAGCCCTTATATAGTCCCCTAGGGTCCCTAAAGCATATCCCAAAACCCAGGGGTACAACCCTAGGGGTACAAGCCTAGGGGTACAAGTTTGAAACCCTTGACTGTAGTTCTAACCCGATCATGTCCACAAAGTACACTTACCTAAATTGTATAGACATGGTTATAAGCACAATTACTCAGTTGGTTACAATCACCCTGGAATTAAACGATTAGGACCCTGTATACGATTTAGGGTATATGCTGTACCTCTTTTCCCTAAACCCTGAATTTCATTTTCCGCAAGCACTTTAGCAGGCCCCCATTTATGGGGGCCCCATGTTAGGAGACCATATGGGACCTTAGGAAGCTTCAGGAAAGCCTCAGGGAGGTTTCAGGAGTCTTTAGTTACGGGTCCCTCCTGTATGGGGCCTCCTTGAAGATTCGTATCCCTGTGCAACCTGGGATCAAAGCCCCAAACCCGCTCAAAGACTCAAACCTGTCGCGCTTCAGCCCTTATCCTTCAAATGTAGGGAATTCAGATTTACCGGGCTGCTGTGAAGGAACTTAATTTGAAATAGTATAATTGGGAAACCCTTTTATTTACTCTATACCTATATACTCATTCCAGAAAAATAGTTCCTTAACAGCAACCCAGTTTAGGGTTGCCTGAGCCCCAAACCTGTTCACAGACGCCCTTCAGCCATTATCCTTCATTTTAGGGGATTTAGACCCCAAACCCTAAACTACGCCCTAAACCAGGGTTCAGGGTTGGAGGCCTCCAATGCCAGTCGCATCTGCTCATATTCCTGCCAGGACTTGCCGCGGAAGGCACGCAGGGCTTCGGATTTGGAGGTTTGGGGTTTAGGGGTTTTAGGGTTTGGGGGGTTTAGGGTTAAGGGGGTTTAGGGTTTAGGGGTTTGGGGGGTTGAGTTTTGGGGGGGTTTAGGGTTTAAGGGGGTTTAGAGTTTTAGGGTAAGAGGTTACGGGCTTTAGTAGGAGCTTGGCATTGTACAACTTACTGGCTCTTAGTAGGGAATAAGGGAATATTTAATAGAAGGTTTATATAGGGATTGTATTCCCTTATTCCCTACTAAGAACCCTTATTCCCTACCAAGAACCAGCAAGAAATCCGTTCAGGGAGGCCCTGATTCTTCGAACCACTACTCTAATCACTTTGCAAAAAGACCATGCACCCCCAGGACCTCCCACGAAGCAGGGTTTGCTGTTATGGTCTTTGGTGAGTGTGTATACTTGGTTCAATTGGGGGGACCTTAAACAAACACCATGGTTAGCTTCGAAACCCTAGGAGCCCTACCTCACCTCGAATAGGCTTCTCTACAAGCGTCCCGATTACAGTTGGTACCATGGGGCCTTGCAATTACCTCCAACCGGCGCTACATCCCAAAACACAAAAAAAATACGTCCCAAAACTTGCACTGTGTATAATACCCAAACCACTACAATTTGTAGGAAATAGGCTGAATCTCTTGCATCCAACGTCCCTTAACCTTACACCCTGAACCAGAAACCCGTAAACCCTTTCAAGAAAGGCTGCCTCGTCCTTGATCCGCAGAGCGCTGATGATGCCACGTTTGGCTACCTTGGTACAGGGTTCAGGGTCTAAAGGTTTAGGCTTTAAGGGCTAGGGGTTGAGGGTCGAATGTGTTGGACACTGGGGTCACTAAAGGGTTTAGGAAGATCCCTAAAACCTGAACCCCAAACCCTGTTCTCTGGTCCGTGTCAGGGCGATCAAGGATTCCTGTTGTTTGACAGGTTCCGCGGTTTACTTACTTTTGCTTAAGGGACAGTGGGGAAGTGGATCCCTAGAATAGTCCCCATATAAACTCCATATATAGCCCTATAGTGGCACCAGCAGGTCTAGGGCGGGAAAAGTTCTTCCGCGCTTCTGCATTGGGAGGGGCGGCTGGGGGTGCAAGCTTTAGGGTTTAGGGTTGAAAACAACCGTCGACGTTATTGCTTTGGAACCGCTGCTGCATACGCTGTACTTAACTTGTAAACGCATTTTTGACATCAGGCAAGCCTTGTATGAAGCATATCAAAAACAGTGATATGTCTAAGTTGCAAATGGGTATGACTTCCAAAATTTTCCAAAGCCTGGTAGAAGGCCGTTGGGTACCACTTTCCATGCACGCCGCCATGTTGGATGACATCAGGTGAGTTCAGTGAGTTCTTCTTCATAATGTGCGCGTGTCCAAGAGAAAATGGGTTAGCAATTCGTCAAAAGAGGTCGAACTCAAACCCAGAACCCTATACCCTATCCAGTGCAAAGCTGCCATGGAACCCCAAAGAGGCCCAAGTCTCAAATCAGAAGCCCTATACTTGGAGGGACTTAGTAAGTGGGTAAATAACCCCTATAGGCCGCTTAACAGCCCCCAATTATCCCCATGATTCACCTGTTTACTATGCACCCAGGACCCTCCAAGTCAACTCGAAGCTACCTAAACTTGACCCTAAACAACAAACCCTAAGCCTGAACCCTAAGCCCTAAGTCCTAAACCCAAAACCACTAAACCCCAAAACCCTAAACCCCAAACCCTAAACCCAAAACTCAAACTCTAAATCCCAAACTCTAAA